GGAAATACTAGCTCGGCCATACAATTTGGGTACTTCAATTCACATTGTTTTGCATGTATTTACACGCATAACCACTACATCCACCCTACTCTACTCATACCTACAGCTAGGCATTTGCCCAGAGCACTCACTGTTGCTGTCCCCGCCCCTCGTCCACTCACGTGGTTGCTTGCTTGCCCATCTGTCTGCTCGTCTGCCCGCCCGCCCGCCCGTCCATCCATCCGTCCGCATGCCCGCTCGGGCGCGTGTTCGTTGGCCATGTCTGCATGCTGGGCATTTGCCCAGCGCGGTCGCGGTCACCATGCGCATGGTGGTCGACCACGCCCTGTGTCCGTGTGCTCACCCTCTCGCCCTCTCGCCTGCCCGCTTGCACACCCACCCGTCTTCCTGCTCACCTACTCATCTGCTGCAGGTGTACATGGATATCACATGTACGCCCGAGGAGATCGAGAAGGGTGTAGCGACTCATGTCGAGCATGCCCCAACGAATACTCGCGAACCCCAAGCGACCTCGTCGTCCAGGTCGTTCAGCGCGCGCATCAGGCTCTCGTGCACCTCGACGAGCTTCTGCCTGCTCTCGAGCGCCCCGCGCCCGAGCGCGATGTCGTCCCACGCGCCCTGCGTCTCACGCAGGTCTTCTTCGTCTGTGACCCGCCTGGGCTTCTTCAGATCGTACCACGCCACATCCTTGAACGAGGTGTGGAACTCCCGCTCGGGCCCCATCCGGAGGCTGAAGTTCTTGAGGTCGCCGTAGTAGCGCCCTCTCCAGAACTTTGGGTCTGTGGGGTCGTAGTTCACGTCATCCTCGACGTAGTGTATGTACCCGTCGTCCTCATCGTCCTTGACCTCGTCGTCCGTGTGACCGAACTCGAAGACATGCTCGTCGTCGAGCGACGCTGACTCGTCCGACCCATGCTCCGACGGGTCGTCAGAGAAGACCTTCTCGGTGTCGCTCAACTCGTCCTCGGTGTCATCACGTACACCTTGCGCTCGGTCCTGCTGGGCGGCGGCGAGGTACTCCCGCCGTCTGTCCGTCGGCTGTGCCTGCACGCAGGGCATTGGCCCTGAGTGCTCGCGGTCGTCGCACTGCACGTTGCTGTGTTCTGTGTCTACGTTAGTGGACTCGTTCGCGTGCGTCTTCACTCACCGGTGGACTCTCGTCCTCGCTCGCCCTCGGCAGCCACACCCTTCCATGTCGTCCGTTCGTCATCCGCTCGTCATCCCGCTTGCCTTCCGCGCCCAACGTCTGCTCGTTGTCCCTGCTCGTTGTCCGCGCCCGCCGTCACGACAGTGCAAGCGGATGGGCGAGAAGGTGTGGACATGGAAATTGTCAGTAGGTACGCTCGTCTGCCCGTCCGTCCGCCCGTCCGTCCGCCGTCCGTCCACCCGTCCGCATGCCCGCTCGGGCGCGTGTTCGTCGGCCGTGTCTGCGTGCTGGGCATTTGCCCAGCGCCCTCGCGGTCGGCGTGTGTTGGGCATGTCCTGGGTCTACTCTCCATCGCCGGCTCCCATCTCCTGCTCTCGTGCGCAGCCCGTTCATCGGCCGTGCTTGCGTACGAGGCATCCGCCCTGTGCACTCGCGGTCACCGTGCGTGTCTCGCCGGCTTGTGTTGTCGCCCGCCCACCTGCTCGCCGCTACTATGCCCTATGCCGATGCGTACAGTCCATGTGTCAGTCGCGGTTGGCATGTGTTGAGCACGACCTGGCCCTGCCTACCATCGCGGTCACCCTGTACTCCCTCACGCGCCTGCCTTGCACCCTGTCCCTGCCCCTCCACCATCCTTCCGACGCCTTCGTTCAAGCGCCTGTGGTCCGTTCGTCGACCGTGTTTGCGTGCTGGGCAGTTGCCGAGCCCGCTCGCGGTCGACGTACGCATCGTGCTTCAGGTCGCCACGCCCTGTGACTGCATTCAGCTCGCTCGCTTGCGTGCGTCTAAGCTCACCGCTGCTCGCTCGTCCCTCGTCAACACGCCTGCCGTCCCTCGTTGTGTGCTCTGCGTGCCCCCGCCCCGCCCACAGTCGCGAGCGGGTGTGCCATAGAGCTGGTGCCAGAGCAGACAGACGGCTGGGCGGGCGGACGCGCGGGTGGAAACGCAGGCCTGTAAAAGGGTAGTCAGATAAGCACGGGCGACGAACTCACCTGCGAGCCTTTCTGCCCTCTTTGGAGTTGCTTGCCCCTTCGTTTTGTCTTCTCATCGAGTTTCTGCGGGGCCCAACGCGAGCACTTTGGATAGAGTGCACTCGACGACCGGATGTGCGACGTGGCGAGGTGAGTCATGTGACCCATCTCACTCAGGGCAGGCATACTTGCCACTTGTCTGACTTCATCGTCTCGCGCTGCTCACTCATGACCAATAAGCTCACCATCGAGCGAAACTATCCGCACGTAGCACAGCAAGCATAACACAGTATCTGCACGTGCGATACCCTATGCGATACCGTATGAAATACTTAAAGTAACCTCGCTCCGGATACTGTATATGGGGATACCAAAATTGTAGATACTTTAAGTATCCCAGAATGGAATACTCAAAGTTTCCCATTATGGTATCACAGGTTGGGATACTTAAAGTGTCCGCGCCGATTACGAGTGACACTGTGACCAACAATAGATGAGATTGAAGACAATTAGTTCAGATGGACCATTGACCGCCACACTCGGAACTCGAAGCCTCGCTGAAGTGGATTACGTAATACTGGTGGCACAATGCACGGTGGCGGCATGTCACGTCGCGTTGCGGCATGTCACGTTGTGTTGCGGCAGGTCGCGTCAAGTCGTGTCATGGCAAGTCGCGTCGCGTCGTGTCATGTCGCGTCGCGTCGTGTCATGTCACGGCGTGGCATGGCATGTCATGTCATGTCATGTCATGTCATGTCATGTCGCGTTGTGTCATGTCATGTCAAGTCAAGTCGTGGCACGGCGCGGCGCGTCATGTCATGTCTCTGTTGTACTGTGTTTGCCCCGAGTCTCTTGATTCCGAGTTGGTCAATCCTATGAGTAACTGAGTGCCCCCAAGCTTAATTCTTTGATTCAAACAGCTGTTATAACATGTGGCTAGATCCATGGCATATTCCTACTGTATTTAGTCACTACAGTACAACAGAGACATGACATGACGCGCCGCGCCGTGCCATGACTTGACTTGACATGACATGACACGACGCGACATGACATGACATGACATGACATGACATGACATGCCATGCCACGCCGTGACATGACACGACGCGACGCGACATGACACGACGCGACGCGACTTGCCATGGCACGACTTGACGCGACCTGCCGCAACACAACGTGACATGCCGCGACGCGACGTGACATGCCGCCACCGTGCATTGTGCCACCAGTATTACGTAATCCACTTCAGCGAGGCTTCGAGTTCCGAGTGTGGCGGTCAATGGTCCATCTGAACTAATTGTCTTCAATCTCATCTATTGTCGGTCACAGTGTCACCCGTAATCGGCGCGGACACTTTAAGTATCCCAACCTGTGATACCATAATGGGAAACTTTGAGCATTCCATTCTGGGATACTTAAAGTATCTACGATTTTGGTATCCCCATATACAGTATCCGGAGCGAGGTTACTTTAAGTATTTCATACGGTATCGCATAGGGTATCGCACGTGCAGATACTGTGTTATGCTTGCTGTGTAGGCCCTTTCTCTGTTCAAAATGGCATCCTCCGACTCGCCGAGTGTACGCTTTGCGTACCAATCGCATCGTCGACACTTTCACAGACCCCGCTCGTGCGTGTTTTCGGATCAAGTTGCTCGACTTGGAGTTGCGGCAGTGAGCTCGAGGGATAGGGAGAGTTGGAAGGGACGGAAGTTTACTGGGAGACAGTGTTGAACTTCGACTATTTTGGGTGTTACACTACGGGATAGGACTTATCCTTTACCCGTTATGGACTTATGTTCTTCGTTGCTACATATTACATACATTTCTTACGGACTTGATCCAGACCTGTAGCACATGATCTGTTCTAGACTTGTACGGAACATTCCACTACCTTCCAGTACATTCCAGGATGTTCCAGCACGTTCCTTGATGACATCACCATGACATCACTATGATATCATGTTCTAGGACTGTCCAGATTCCCTTCCGGTCCTGTCCAGTCCTTTCCAGTACGTTCTATCCATGGTGCAATCATCGCATCATTGCTCATTGCACCATTACGATGTCATGCCATTACGCTTACTGTACGATCATGTGATGGCTCTCTCATGTGTATATATACTGGGCTGGATGCCCCTGTAATGTAACGATCTCTCCTCTCATTCTACGCCTCCTGAGTCTTCCCTCTCAGCAGTCTAGAGATCTGTTGTAAGTCCTCCTTTATTGCAGTCCTTTGTTTGCTCCTTTGTAGTCTTGCCTTCAGCTACGCCACACCACTCCTTGTTCAACAGACAGGTGAGAGCTGATACCACGCGTTCACCTGCTGTCTCGCTCAGCCACCATTCTCGCCCGCCATCCCGCTTGCCCACAGTCCCGCTATCCCCATCGCACGCCCCGCCGTCTCGCAAGCCCGCCGTCGCATGGGTCCGTCATTTCGCAGGTCCGCCATCTCGCAGGTCCGCCATCTCGTAGGCCCGTCACCTCGCAGTGCCACCTGCCGTCCCTCTCGCCCACCATCTCGTACTCCTGTTGTCTACCCGCCGTCTCGCTCGCCCGTCGTCTCACCTGTTGTCTCGCCCGCGTGCCGTCTTGCCGGTGCGCTCACTGTCCTTCTCGCCCGCACCCTCTTGCTCGCGCCCTGTTGCTCGCGCCCCTCGCCCACACACTCTCACCCACACCCTCTCGCCCGCAGCTGACCCGGGTTTCCTGGTTCCAGCGTCGCGGGGCCAGCTGCAAGCCACCCTCCAGAGTCCACCGGCACCCGCAATCAAATTTCGGCCACGCTGGCAGCGGAAAGCGTGCTGCCTCGTGCCAGCCTGCCTCGCGTCCTCCTACCTCGCGTCCTCCTACCTCGCGTCCACCTGCCTCGCGTTTCCCCTCACCTCGATCTGGCCCGCCTCGACTTGTATCACCACTTGTCCACCTCGCCCTCGCCCTCGTGCTCATTAATCAGGTGTACAAGCAGCTTGACGTCGTCGATCGCCCACCCGCCGCAGTCGCCGCGCCAGATCTCCGCGCGCGCGCGGTGGAACACCATGTGGTACAGCAGGACGACCGCCCCATGGTCCTCCTCCGAGAGCATCACCACCCGCGCGAGGTACTGCGTGCTCGTGGATGTGATCGCCAGCACGTCCGCGCGTCGACGAGGCGTGCGGGAAGTAAGCGCACTTGGGACAGGATGGGCGCGACGGGAGCCGCATGGCTGGGGTAGGACTGTGAGCGGATGATGGAGACATCGTCTGCTCCGCCGCCCTGGCCATGTGTAATTATATTGAGAAACACTCGTGTCTGCGTAGGCTACCGTGTGCGATACAGAAATATACGTGATATCAATAACATGGTGCTAGTTACACGGCCTAGTGTGAGTGAGTGTATGCTATGGCTCGCGGCATGCAGTGTGTCAAGCCAGGTACTAGTAAGTTGCTCAGTGATTTTCAGTAAGTTCGCGCTGCCAGCTTTTTCAGATGGTGTTTACGAGCTGTTCGCACCAATTTGGAAGCCGTTTACATGGGAGGTTGCGCCGGACTGGTTTGGCGCCGATTCGCGCCACATTCGCACAGGGGGGTTTCCTGATGGCCCCTCCGGCCGGACCGTTGCAACGTCTCGGGAAGGTTCCAGGGGAGGCCGGCCGCAACACTGGAGACGGTGGATGAGTCATGACCAGCCGGCCATGCCCTCCGGCCGGAGTGTTGCAATGGCACCGTTGCAAACGTTCCGGCCGGACCCTGGGGCTGCTCCGGCCGGCCTCCGGGTCAACGTTCCAAATGGGCAAATCTCACTCCGGGTCTACCGTTCCGAACGGGTTAGACACACTAAATAATGTGGGTCGGACGGAAATCTGGAGTTCAGACAGGAGTTCGGTGGAAAGGAATTTGGATTGGTTAAATGAGATATTCGAAATGCAGTACAACGGTGCTACAGTTCGACCTTATATACAGTGAGTCTAATTGTGAATGGAAGCCAATAAGACAGAGGAAGGGATACGGAGAACAATAACGGAAGACCGGAGATGTTAGTAACCGGAACGAATACAATAAGCTAATTGTCCGTGCAAGATAGAGACCATGCAGTACACTAATTGTAATGCGGGAGAAGATAGGCTAAGCGAATACAATAAAACCGGAGTTCGGAGAAACAGAGACGGAGAGAACGGAACTGGAGTTCGGAGATGGTCTTGGTGGCACGGAACGTGACAACCACCCTCACTAATGCTTCCTTACAAAGACCTGAACATGTGCCATAACAAGTCTGACACTGATTGCGAGTACGAGGAGGAGGAGCTCCTGTACTCATGATAGTCGATCCTTAATTCTGCTCTTGCTATTGCATGTACCTGCGTAATATTTGTTTGCACTAATGTTCTAATGTATATGCATATATTACGTGCTTTTCCGAATTGAACAACGACGTGCAGCTGGCTCAGGACGCTTTGCCATTCTGCAAAGCGATATTTCGCCCGTTATGGTAATATTGCGTCACGTGGCAGGCGTTGCGCATGGCCAAAGTGTTCCACAAAGACAGCATTCATGTCTGCAATAGAAAGCGAATAATGATACACACATACATCAAGACGATACAACGAACAACCCATCCGAAGCACATTACTGAGAGGGAGGTGCCGAAGCAGCAGTGGGAGCAGCGGTAGGTAGTGCAGGGGACGTAGCAGGAGGCGCAGTGGCAGCATGCCCCGTTGTGGGTGGTGCTGTAGCACTGTACGCGGTGGGCCATTGCTGCGTCATCCCTCCATTCTGACCCGCAGGGACTTGCGGGTAGACATAATACGGACCCGGTTGGGTCCCTGGCGCCGTCGCGTGCTGTGTTCCCTTTGGGCCCGTATACGGACGCTGCCACTGCAATCCACGCGTCGACGTCTGCACCTGCGCGTACATCGAGTACGACTCATACGACGTCGTGGTCGAGTACGGCTGATGCGCCGGGTTAGAGTAAGAGTAATTATGAGGCTGTGGCACGTAATGCATACCACTCTGAGGGTAGTGGTACCGCCAGTTCGTCGGTGCATAATGGTAGTTAGCACCGGTGGAATAAGGAGGTGCCTGGGGCGGAGCGTAGTGCTGTTGCGCTGCGGGGGCGTGCACCGGAGGAGCAGGAGGAGCACTGACCGATGGTGCAGTGGACGGCCCGGGAGTAGGGGTCGCTGACAACGGTGTCTGCGTCGGTCGATATTCTATGGTGGGCACGGTGGACGACAGAGGCGCGAACCGGAACCGTGACTGACCAGAAGACGGTGTGGGTGCTGCAGCTGTAACGCAGGTCATCCGCAGCACTCAACGGCGAACAAGAGTCGAAACTCACGATCCGGTTCGGGTGCAGGCTCTGACGGCTTCTGCCCAATAGTCACCCCTTCCATGTTTCCAAAGACCACGCTGCCCCACTTGAACTCTCGCTTCAGGCCCCTGTCCCAGAGCACCTCAACCGAGCACGACTCCTCCATGACACGGACAAGGGAGACCTCAAAGACACCCGCACTGACGCGCAACTTGATCCGCGACATCGGCGACAACGCGAGCAGGTCGTTGCGAATCTTGTCTTGCTTCACGGCCCGCTTCGCTTCCGCAACAGCCTAGCAGGTCGTTAGCATCAGAACGGATACAGAACGGATACCGCAAACCCGACGTACAGGATTATGCTGCGGGCACAGCACCTGAACTTCGGTCTTCTTGACAAGCTTCAGGACGCGGGGTTCAGACTGCCCGCTAGGCGCAGTGAACGTCGTGGCCATTTGCAGGCTCGGGTCGATGGGTACCGGCAGCACTTGCTCTGCGCCAGCGATACTGATACCTGATGCGTCCATCGGAACCTGAAAGCCATCTGGCTGGCGACGAGGATCCAACAGGACGACCTCCTTCTCGACCTCCCTCAACTCCTTGTACACGATGTTATTCTCGCCACCATTGCGCGCGCACGACACGTGGAACGCCTTTGGGCATTTGCCCTTGGTGCACTGGATCGGGGCGCCATGGGCCTTATACCGCGTCTTCGTGCACGCAGAACATTTCTGTCCCTCGTAGGTCAGCAAACCGTCTCTCCAATCGGACAAGATCGTCACGTACTAGGTTCCACCTGTCTTTCACAATCGCATCCACGCCAAACACGACCCGTTCCTTCGCCCGACTCCCATCTAACCTCGCCTCCCCGACCTCCACTTCATCCACCCACGTCTCCGGGACGATGTTGGCACACACCTCATGGGCCATCCACACGCCCTCGCTCGCCTCCATGCTCGACCCGCCCTCGCCCTCCTTCCTCCACAACGGAGGATCATGCACCCTCAACAAGTTCTCCCTCCCCATCGACACGCACAGGCAACAAGGGAACACGTCCGGCTCCTTCGGCTTCGGCGGGAGCTTCAAGGTCACCTTCGTCGGCACACTGCCCTCCGCGGACGCGGGGCGATTATCACTCTTCTTCGACTTGCTGCTGCTGCTCCCGGACTTGTGCTTTTTGGGTGGGCTCGGGTTCTCCTCGTCGCCCGCCTTTCGCTTGAGGGGCGATACTTTTAGTTTGGGTGCTCTCTCGGACTTGGGTGCACTGCTGGGTCGACGAGAGTTCGTGCGCGCGACTTGCATTCGCTCGGCTTCACGATCACGCAGAAGCTGGTCGACGTCGATACGGACGCTGATTGCAGATATTAGAGGGCTTGTTTGTAGTAAGGACACACGTATGGCCTCACCTGAAGTTGACGCAGGCGCACGCCTTCGCCTTCCGCCCGATGTCGATCCAACTGTCAAGGGCGAAGTTGACGCTCTCCGCACAGTTAAGACCCAGGTTGAAGCCGGCATGGTAACCCATCGGGAAGGTGATGACGAACTCACCCTCACGCTGAACGAGCGTGTTCGGTCGGCATGATGACTGGGACAGGAGATGAGGCGAGGCTAGGAATGACTTGTGCCTCAGGAACTGCTTGCAATTCGAGACGTCAGATGGGAAGTAGCCTGTGCCACGCAAATCAAATCATGAGGATTGCTATATGCGCCATGAAATGGAGCGACGTACCTCTCATGGCATTCTCCAGGGTGGGCGCTTTCGCTTGAGGGATCGCATACCAGTATTTCGGCGCACCAAAGTGTATGTAGTTGATGCTGAACAGGTCCATGTCTTCAACATGCCACGCGAACGTCGCCCGCCACATGCCGAAGTACAGGTAGGGCGTGTTGACACCGGGTAGGCCCTTCGACGACGACGGGAGCAAGCGTGACAGTGCCGAGTCCAAGTGGCCAACATTCCAGGCTTTCGTCTCGTCGGTAAATAGTGAGCCTATCAACGTGGCTAAGTAGGCATCCACAAGACACTGCACGATCAGACGCACCCTGCATGTCAGCGCCATACCATGCTGGCTTGCCCAGTCCGCAGTTCCTCCAATACCGTCTCTCCAGCTCTCGACAGAACTCGGTCGTGTAGTCGAACGGAGTGGTGTTTGGCGGGAGCCAATCGGAGTGCGGATCAAATGACTCGAGGAATACTTTGTCTTTGGCCGCCCGGTCGGCGAGGCTCGCCTCCCGCGCTTGCCGCGACTGTGTGGCACGCTTCCGTTTACCTTTGGGTTGTTTGACTTCCTCCTCTTCTTCCTCCTCTTCCTCGTGTTTTGCTTCTACTTCTCCGTCATGCATGACCGCTTCCTCTGTCGCTTGCTCGTTCGAGGCACCTTGTTGTTCACCGGCGGCGTCCTGAACTTGTGTGTGGTCTGCCGCTGCTTCGTCCTCGACATGCTGTGGAGGTGTGGGTAGAGCGGCGGCGCTGTTAGGTGGGGAGGCGAGGGACTGCTCTGCGGCGGCGGGGACGACCTGTGTGGCGACATCGTCTTCTTCCTGCTTGATCGCGTGCGCGTCAGGGTCATGATCAGGCTCGGCAGTCTCCGACTCCCTCTTCCTGCGCGTCCTGCGAGTGCGCGATCGAGTGGACGCGCCCGCGTTCGCGGCGCGTGCGTGGAGGCCGACGTCGTCGATGCCCGGTGCGCGCAATTCCTCCTTCGAGCAGAGCTCGGCCCACTCGCGCATGCTCATGGCGCGCCGCTTTTCCACGTTCTCCTGCCGGAACAGGCCGCCGCGCCCGAACATGTGCTGCTCGATCGGGTTCTTCAATTTCACTTGGCCCAGCTGGTCGTTCAATGGCGGGAGGGAATCGGTCCTGTAGAACACCGTGGTCAAACTTACGCGACGCCCGCGCAGCGGCAAGCGATGGACTGACCACTCCTTCGGGGGATAATCTTTACGATACCGCTCTTCATACCCCAACACTCGACCCGGTTCAAGTACGCCTCAAAGTCCTGGAACTCCTCCACGGTAGGTTTGAAGACGGGGATGCCGCGCTGGGCCCACGGGTCGTCTTCGGGGGTGAGCCATGTCCTGCCGTCGGAATGCGGGGACGGAGGAAGGTGGGCGTTGTCGGAGCCATAGAAGTGGTCAGGCTGGACGGGGGGCTCTGGGGTAGACTGGCGAGAGGAAGCCGGTGTGAGGGACGGAGTGTGACTAGAGGCGCTGGACATGATGCGATTTGGACGTTGCAATTGACGCGATGGCCAGCGGGTGCTGCGAGCGACGTGGCCCGGACACAGACGGGCTGTTGCTGGCTTGCTGGCAGCTTGCGCGTTGGTCGACGACTGCGAGGCGAGAGACTGCGAGGAGACGGTGGCCGATGTTGGTTGTCGAGACTGACCCAGTCCGGATTCCCGGCCACGCTCGACTTTCCGCCGCGCACGCCCCATTCCCATATATGGCTTAGCCTGCCCTGAATCCTCCTCCTGACTAAGACCCCGTGAGCCCCCTTTTAGGACTTATCTATACTTACTATGCCTCAGAAAGGAATATCTGTCGAATTCTGTGCGGTAAGCATACCTTCCTGCGGTGCTCACTGCTCTTTCGCAACTCTTCCGAGGACCGCGACGGCAAGGCGCGCAGTCCGTACAGTACTCCCTCGTGTGCAATCTTTTCTTCAATATCTCAAACCCCGGTGAAATGATACTGAGATTCGTTCATTGCTCAATATTCTATTCTCTGTAGCTAAACCTCAGATCTCAGAAGCGAGCAAGTTTGGTTTAAAGGCTCAGTATGTCCGTGTCGCCATCAATTTCTGGCTTTGGGCTCATACTGAGAACATGTTACGAAATACCCATGCAGACTCGTGGACCGACATAACCCACCCACTGGTCCTGGGTGTCAACTCCGGAGGAGAGCTAAGAGCTTCATACACCGTTACCTGCTTGAAGTTCTGGGGCGGCGACTGCGGGTCAAACATAGATATCCCCTCGCCCAAGAAGCCCGAATCAGGCCATGCCCGCTGGCCTGTTCCGTATGATGAGCAGAGCGCGTTCTTGATAAACGTACCACACCGAGCCATCGAGTGTGCTGTGACGATAGCCCGCTAGCGCGACCGGAAGCTGCGGCAGTGGGCAAGCACATTCCTGTTTTCGTCGCGAGCCCAGTCGATGCGTCGCTAATGATGTCTTGCAGGTCTTCATGATGTCGGCGCGGCAGTAATGAACATTCACACTGTCGTTTCGGCTCTGCGGCTCTGCCACGAGGACGTCGGTCATACTCCATGCTGCAAGCACTTGGAGTGCAGCAGCAGACTGTCCCGGAATGAGGTATGGAAGTTCTACTGAGGCAGTAAACCTAATGTCCTTGTACCGTTTCGTCGGCGTTGGGCAGTGTCTTCATATTCCCTTTGCGTTGATACGTGTCCCCGACATTCTCTAGCCTCTCGTGTATCATCTGAGTTAGCGTTCACCATGACTGGAATACAATTATTCGTTTTGCAGCACTGGTGCTTCGCATGCCCACTTGAAAGTATAATCGCGTCTGTGCTTACGTAACACGCGTCGACGCGCGTCGAGCGTCAGACTTGCTGCTCGCAGGGACACGCACGCCTCAGCTTCTCTCCTCCATCCTCACTCTTCCTCGCCATGGACCACTTTCCGACCAACTGGGGCCGACCCGTAAGTCCTTGATATGCTATCATATCATCTTACCGACTAGGGTGTAGCGCAATGAGCTCTACGACCAGTACAACACCTTCCCGCTGCACCAACGACCCGCCAACCACACCGATGCCTTCGCGGGTGGGGTTCAGCGCACACAGTGCGTACATCACGAATCATTACCTACAGAAACGACTGACACACTGCAGACAGCCGATTGTAACAGGAACCAGCGTGCTCGCTATCCAGTACAAAGACGGCGTCATGATGGCTGCAGACAACCTCGGTGCGCTTGCCTCATCCCTCTTCTACACTAAAGCTAACTCCCAGCCCGCAGCGTCTTACGGATCCCTCGCGCGCTTCAAGGATATTACCCGTCTGCACGCCGTCGGCAACTCCACCGTCGTCGGTGCGTCCGGCGACATGTCCGACTTCCAATATATCCAGCGCGTCCTGGACGAGATCGTCACGGACGAGTTCACCGCCGGCGACGGGCACTCACTCGGCCCTGCAGAGTTGCACGAGTTCCTCGCTCGTCGGATGTATGCGCGCCGCTCGAAAATGAACCCCCTCTGGAATGCGCTCCTCGTAGGCGGTTTCGAGAACGGCAAGCGGTGAGTGCTTGTTGCATATATCCGCAGCGGGTACTCAAAGGTGTCGCAGATTCCTCGCATTTGTCGACCTTCTGGGCACGACGTACACGGCACCTTCACTAGCGACCGGGTACGGCGCACACATCGCCCTCCCCCTCCTCCGCGAGATCGTTGATCCCAACCCCGATGCAATCACCGAGGACGCAGCGCGCGAGATCCTTCGGAAGTGCATGCGCGTGCTGTACTACCGAGACGCTCGCAGTCTGGACAAGGTCTGCAGTCTACGCAACGTCCCACTCGACGGCGACTGACGCTTCAGTTCTGCAGTACCAAATAGCTACGGTCACGGAAGCCGGCGTGTCGATATCCGATGCAGAGAAACTGGAGACCAACTGGGACTTTGCGGAGGGGATTCGCGGGTACGGCGCCCAGACACAATAGACATGCGCTGTCGCGTTGTGCTGGATCGACCATCTGGGACGGTCCGTGTATGACTTGCCGATCTTCTTGTATCACCAATAATGACAGTCGTGGATGTTTTACACGTTGCTTACGGTTCGAGCTTGCACTCTCAGACTTCCAAACCGTAGGCCATCTGGCTGTTCGTGACGGGCTCTTGTGCATACAGGCTCTAACATGGCTCAGCGTTGATCGCGCAGACGCTAACCATTTGGGTTTGCAGGCACACAGACAGTAGCTCCAATGCATTCGAGCAGTAAGTTCTGTCATATCATAACACAGCTATATACAATCTTCGTTCTCGTCATATTTTCTGAGGTATGTAGGTCGTGTGCATCTGTTCGTTATTCGTCTCTTTGATCTCTTTGGTTCGTATTAGAACTCCTTGCGCCGCCTTTCACAGGCAGCAATCCACGTGTCCATCCCTTGCCCTTTCTTTGTCATCTTGTCTTCGGGAGCCACTCCAAACTCACCGAACCACTGCTTTCCCTTTCCTGCCTCTCACATTCTCGCCATTGGGCACGTCGCTGGAGATCTCAGACGATTAATTGGCACCGCACTGCAGAGGTTCAGGTACGTACCGTGACGCGTCTTGCGTGCCTGCATATTGAGTAGAAGGTGGTAGCGTCCTCGCGGTGGCGGCCTTCCCTTTTCTGACTGCCTGTTGGGCCGACCCTTCGTATACATTGTCGCCTTCAACGAGATGGTCTGACTTCCCATGGACAGATTTTTCTCCTGAGGCATTCGAAGTCAAACTAGCGTTCCCCGCAAAACACTTGCTTTTGCGCTGAAAATCCACGAGGGACTCCGCCACCTCAAGGTCCTCAGCACCCCGATCCCTCATCCCAGCCGAGCGGATTAGAATCGCACCAGTCAGAGTCCGCTGGATTGTATAGTCTTCCCCTTGACTCACGTTAGTCCACAGCCGAACGGTCCACCGGTACCAGCACTCCCATGGGCTTCGCACCTGGTACCTCGGGCCTATCAGCGCATACAGCCGACCGAAGTTCTTTACGGCGTTCTGTCTCAGTCCCGCGTCTTGGGCCAACGATGTATGCTGCATCATGGTCCAGGTGTTCGTCCACAGGTCGCCCACTATGGCCGGATCGTACGTGAGGGGAGGTGGAGGGAAGGGCACGTTGTACCAGCCGTCGGCGCTGAAGAGCTGTGCCATCTCCTCCATCTCCTGCTCGGTCGGTCGCGTGTTCGTCCTATCAGCTTGCTCGTCCCTGACGCCGTCCGCATTACTCGCAGCAGTGGGTAGATAGTCTCCAGGCCATCCCGGGCATTGATGCGTTTTCCGACAGGCCTCGCTAACGCAATCGTCAAGAAAGGTCTTTGCTCGCTCCCTGTCTTCGAGGGCATAGGGCCCGCCGTTATGCTTCCTATTCCAGTGCTCACGTACCGTATTCCAGAAGTGTCGCCAGAAGACCTCGCGCCGTCCCCAATTGATATTCGCCTTCAACGCCGTGTTTAACACCCAAGCATTCAGGTGGGGAAACATCAACATATAGTTGTACAGGTCGGTGGTGGACTGCCAGTCGTGGATAGAGGGAGGGAGAGAGGTGATGACGAAAACCAAGAGGTACGTCTCCCGAAGACTCCATGGTCGGTGAGCTAGTATGTCCTGCGCGTTTGCTGGTTCAGGAGGGGTCGAACTGAGCTGGACAACGGGTTTCAGAGCCAGCGATGAAGTGTTGGGTCCAGCTCTCTCTGGTTGCGAATTGCTAAGATCGAGCGAAGTTGCTGGTGCCAGTTGCGGCGACTTCAGCGCTGGCAGCGTATTGACAGTTGAGGAACTGGGAGCCGGAGATGGATTCGAGAATGGCGCAGGAGATGCGAACTGTGGCTTTGCTGAACTGGGTGACGGTGCTAAACTGAGTGTCTGGGATGCGGCATATTGTGGCACCGGTGTGTTCTCCTGGGACATTTCGGTTAACGGGCCCAGGGTAACAACAGCGTCGTTGTCCTGACTATGCGCTAGGTGGACGGGTCCTAGTAGTGAGCGGGGTGCCAGAGGCAGCGATGGGTTGCGTGCGCTGGTTATCTGTGCGGGCGGCATCCCCAAGGATGAGTTGGACAACACATCGTTATCATCTTGGGGTGCTTGTGTCGTACGGAGAGCAGAGCTCGTCGCGTCAGGAAAGTTGATATTGGCATGGCGCTGTCCAGTGATCGAGACGACGGCCGCATTCAACCCGCGTTGTTCGAGTGGATTGTCATGCAATTCTGCATGCTCGCAAATAAGCCGCCTTGTGGAGACTGGTTTGTTGTGGCCCGCGAGAACAGAACCTGCATCGGTCTTGGGCTCTGTGGCAGACGATGACATATCCAGACCCCCGCGATTTTGGGCTGCGGTGTGGTGGTCGTTGATTGCCAAGGGCTCAATATCCATCAAAACATTGAATCTTACACGCGTCGTCCGTGCAGGATCCGCACTCTCGTTTGCGCTTGTGTGGGATGGTATTGCAGGACCTTGCGGGAGCTGCTCGGGATCGTATACAGAGCCCATTGGTCCGAAGGTGCTTAGGCGACGTTCGTCGGTACCGGCATCGAAAGATCGGCACTCGTACGCTCTGTCCATTCCATTGATACTGTGTTCAGGTACATTCATACTCGGACGATATTGCAGCGTGCAAGGAGCCTCCTGACCCGTGTGATTGTGGCCCGGCCTCTCACTTGGC